ATTTGACGGGAAAGGTCACCGTATTTACAACGCGGATCGCAGTATTAGTAAGAATCTGTGAGTGATAAACAGGTGAGTTTCCAGCAACAGCTGAGACAGCAACAAAGGGAAACAGGCAGCATTTTTGCTATACTACCTGTCTCGTGAGTAGTATCTCAAAAATGGAATTTGGGCCAGTTGTTTGCATTGTCCTCGCCTGATGACCGCATTACGTGCAGTGAAGGCGTCTTCATGTTATTTGAAGGTGAATATGCCGTTTGCTGTGGACTACACAGCAATAATGATCGATAGAGAGCAGTAGACGGCTGCTAGTCCAGGCAGAGAGGTGTGGAAGGCTCATCTACATTCTTTTGTGCTGCCCGCCCTCACATGTGCCCGCGCCACTGGCAATTGTCCATCACTGTCGCGCTGACAACCAAGTCAATGACACTGCCCCTCCGCTAACGAAAAGAATAAGGCCTATAAGTGTACACGTGCTGAACACGCGTAACACGCTTGCGTAGAACCGAAGACTGAGCACCGAATCAGTAAAATACGCACTAAGGTGTAAGACCAGGCAGTAAAGCCAGTTGCGACCCTTTCCACTAACGCCTCAAGCATGAGGTGCGTAACAGCGGGGTCCAACCACGGTCATCCTGTACTAAATTCGTCCTTTTCTTCAGATGCTGCGAGCAAGCAACGAGCAGAAACTCCCGGAACGAAAGGAAAACGTCTAGGTGAGTTGAGAATGGCATATTTTAGCCATGCAAAGCGCATGCTTGATGTGTCAATCTGTTCGCCGCACAATGGCCTTTTTATCACGTGTTAGTTTTCTCCTACCGGAGGTGAACTCGTAGACGGCAAGTTAGTACCCTCTACGAGGATCAAAAAAGAGTGTTGTGCAGAATTTGTGCCGCATACCAGAAAGAGGTAAGGCAACGACAAGTGCTTCACTCTTTATGTGCCAGAACAGCCGATGCTGGAACCGAACTGATGAAACTGCTGTCCCACCCACCTTATTTGAATGTAACGATGATATAATAGTAGCACTGCAATATTTTAGCGCTTTTCAGAGTCCAAATTCCGTGCGATATACCATCCACTGAGACCTGAGAAAGATTTAGCCTGTGAGTATTTTGTTTCGTACTTTCTTTCCTTCCTTATTTGAACAAAGCGCCCGCGAACGCCCTTCACAGGTTGTAGAGCTTAGAACCATTAGATCATGTTGTAAGTACAACGGTGAAGAAGAAAAAACAAGAGAACTCATTGAAAATGCCCTGAAAAGACCTGATGTACGGGATAGAAACGGACGAGTTAATCAAACTTGGGCGAGTTCTCTGTATCTAGTCGCCACTTGCTGCGACTCATTCTCCAAGGCATATTTGATAAGATTAGCAATTATCACCGCTGAAGAATCAGTGTAATGAAAAAATGATCGAGATGGAATTTGTTAACTCCATCTTCATAGAGAGCGCTTGGTAGAAGCACGACAGTCACGCTGCTGAGCTGTCGTGCTTTTATCTAGCGCTTTTGAGCCGCAAAAGAAGGGATATCTGTGGCTACGAGCCCAACCATCTTGTACTCTGAAGGATTTCTGCAACTTGGTTGATCGCGGACGCGGTCATCAAGCAAACTAGAGCACTGTGGCAACGAGCGGTGCGGACGGGTGGTAAACGGTGCCGAGATTCATAGAGGAATAATATGGCGTTATGCGAGCAACAATAAAAAAGAATCAAAAACTTTTTTGGCGAGTCTCCCTCGCTACTCAACTACACGAAAAATAAGAATAGCAAGAGGAGCAGGAGCCCGCAACCACAGAGGATATCCCACTCCTTCGCGGAGTCCGCAACCACAGAGGATATCCCAGTCCTGCGAGTTGAAAGAGCTTGATAGACGGAAGTGGAGTCAACAATGATAAGCTGACTCTTCCTCGCAAGTCAATCCCACCTCAACTGGTTTTCCATTATCAGTCCTTGCTGGTTGTGATGATGTGATAAATGCTTGATTTCTAGCGTTCGAAACTTATAGGATTATTGAATTAAATCAGATTAGGTAGATTAACCTCGAAACACTCCTAGGTAGTGGCCTCATGAGAATAAGCCGCAAAGAGGCAGCGTTAAGTTTCAGAGAGCTCAACCAGAATCTGTGAAACTCATATTGCGTCTGATCGAATAGGGTCTTATTCTACGTTCTTGCGGCGTTTTTGTTGATTTTTTACTAACGTTTTACTTGCCACATGTTCTAACAATCCTGAGCCCCACAAGTTGCCAGGGTCGATTGCTGGCGCTGTCTTTATAGAGGAGACGAAAGAGGGGAAGGGCCACAGACGCTGCCGGAGGAATGGGTAGAAGACGGCTATCGGCTGGACCCGCTAGAAAGTACAGGTCGATTGATTGCGGAAGAGTAGGATGCGGGATTTCCGCTTTTTGGCGCGGGGTTACAGTAGCAGCGTCTGTGGAAAGGTCGATCTATGACCAACCGGTCCGTGGAACACTCACATAGTGCGACACACTGCGGAGGGGCCAGCTTTTCATTCCTTCCAATACTTCATTTCTTCTTTTTTCTGTAGTATTCAATCTTTGGCAGGTGGCGCAGCGATTCCTGATGGCTGGCACTACTGCAGTACCTGCACGCTTTTCTTTCCGTTTCAGAGGCCGTGCATCTAATTGATGCAAAACCAACATAGTCTTTTTTCACGATCTCATTCCTTCTTTCCGCTGTGCGAACCATGGGGCATGCGTCCGCTTCGTGACTCCTTTTTTCTTAGTAGGATATACACACGACTATTCCTGCGTTCTCTCGAAAGAGGAGACTGTTTTCGCTCTCGTATATCCTTTCCTGCGTTTTCTGAGGATGCAATTTTCCGCTTTGCGCACGGTGGCGCAGCGATTCCTGATGGCTGGCACTACTGCAGTACCTGCACGCTTTTCTTTCCGTTTCAGAGGCCGTGCATCTAATTGATGCAAAACCAACATAGTCTTTTTTCACGATCTCATTCCTTCTTTCCGCTGTGCGAACCATGGGGCATGCGTCCGCTTCGTGACTCCTTTTTTCTTAGTAGGATATACACACGACTATTCCTGCGTTCTCTCGAAAGAGGAGAGTGTTTTCGCTCTCGTATATCCTTTCCTGCGTTTTCTGAGTCCTTCCAACTTATAGTCGATTGCCCATTTCTCCTTCGACTTTTCTTTTCTTTTCTTCCTCTGGTTTATTCTCGGGGATCCTTCTTTTTCCTCCTTGGATCATGGGCTGCGTTGGCGTTTCTGATGCTGAGCCTGAGTCTGCAAGCTCCAAGTCTTCTTTTCTTTCGTTTAGCTCGCAGATTCTCTTTACCAGCACTAATTGTTTTATTTGTGCTTCGATGAATATTTCGATTTTACCTTCTTCCTTTCTTTTTTGTCCTTCACAAAAAGAAAAGAAAGATTGTCAGACGGATGGTTCAGCGGTACTGGGTCTCGACCGTTCGCCGCGTTATGTAAATCAACAATCGAAAATGAATTCCCTGGTTGGGTGATAATGTCCACAGGAAATTGGAGCCGTACACAGAGAATAACATCGATAACAACTAACAAAATAACTTCCGAAAGAGGTTCTCAATGAATGACGTCTTGCGAAAACATTTTGCTTGCTACTCAACTGCACAAAAAATAACAATGGCAGCAGGAGCAGGAGTCATCAGAACTTGAAAACAGGAATAAAGCTAATTTAGATCAATTCAAGTAGAGGAGACGAAAGAGGGAAGGGCCACAGAGGCTGCAGAAGGGATCGGTTAAAAGACGGCTATCTGCTGGACTCGTTAGAGCTCGAATGACGGTTCGATTGATTGCGGAAGAGTAGGATGCGGGATTTCCGCTTTCTGGCGCGGGGTTACAGTAGCAGCGTCTGCGGAAAGGTCGATCTATGACCAACCGGTCGGTGGAGTACTCACCTAGTGCCACACACTGTTTATGGATGGCATATTTGGCTCAAAATCATCTAATTTCCGGACGAAAAAGAAGAAACGCTACCGATGAACACATAAGGCAGCAAATTCTCGGTGAAGCCTTTGGGGTACGCAGCAGTATCTTCGACCCTCTGAAAATGACTATCAGGATAGCTTCGCGTAAGGAAGTCGGCTACGTGCGCTATTAGCGCAGACGTCTATAGCGTGGCGCTGGTTGTGCGAACGCCAGACATTCTCGTTTCCAACAGACAAGGGGCTTCTCGTTTCAGATGCTGAGTCGCTCCTGCGGAGGAGGTTTCGCCAGACCCACTCCAGATGAAGAAGTTTGATCGAAATCTAACCTGGATTTCAGGGAGGGGGTAGTAACGGATAATGTTGTGACCAAGGGCAGTTTACGCTTCGCAACGAGCACTGATCGGTCCTCTATAAACTTGCAACACATTCAACCTTCATGAAAATCCTCTCTATAGTAACACATTCCATGTACCTGGTCCATATATGGGCTTGCCTAGCTACGATTTATGTGACTGTGCTTACCACTCTGGCCAACTCCAGTACCACAACGGTGATGCCATAGAAATGGATGTCTCATTTAGCTCTTTTGGACTCCTGACTGGCCATTCTTATATAGCCCCATCTTTGCCTATGAATATGAAAGGGGGACCTCCTGCGAATCCTGTACTTCTTGACACCTCAAAGCAGAGCTGAGTCTAGCAATAACTCTAGATAGCTTGCCTTTGACGTTGGACAAGTTCTTGCAGAACTTGACGTTCCGTGTTTGTGATGTACCTGATGGAAAATGCTTTCGCAGGGGTAGGGGGGCTTGAAGCAACTTGTTCTTCAGAGACAGAGACGGCAACTTAGAACTAGCTAGGCTAAAACTTCCTTGACAGGAGAGTTGTCGATATTCTCCTTGGGAGGGGCATTTTGCTCTGTCGTTGGTTCCGTTCTCTAGTTCCCGCCAAAATGCACGTCAAACCTTGGTGTGACTTGCGGGTTTTCTTCCAAGTGTAAAGGAAGCTCATGCTACCGCTTAGCAGGGATTTACAGCAGTGACCTGTGAGAACTAGGTAGCTAGATGCCCCTACCAACAGAAGCCCTTGCAACGCAACTGGTCTTTTTGCGAATGCAGAACTGTGATGAGCTGATCTTGGAGCCTTCCTCACCACTACTATTAGAGAACGGGAAAATTGGTATAGTTCGCAGATATTCATGCAAGAACCTTCATCGATTCAAAGCGAAATATAGTGTAGTGCGCTGCGGACGGTTGGGCGTGTCAGGCGGGATGAGTTTGGCGCGGTGCCAAACCCGTTCTCCACCAGTTGTTAAAGCGAGCAAATGATATGACTGTATCATATCGTTCGTATTACTCGTTTTCTACCACTTTGTCGCATGCGCGCTTCAACAAGAAGGCAGAGAACGGCTTTGACGGGGTGACACACTCATACTGCCTGAACGCCCAAACATCCGCAGCGAACTAGAGTGTATCTGAACCTTTTCTAATATTCAGACCCGGGCTACTCCAAGAGTGGAACAGACAGTCTCGAAGATAAACGACGAAAATGTGAGTAATTGTACTTAGTTAACCCCACGGTTAGTCTGAAAGGCCACATAGTCACGATCCTGCAAATGGGAGCGCGCGCGAAGGAACGCGGATTGGAGACCAGCCAGGCTGCCTTTCCCACCAATGCTATCTTCTTCAGCCCCTTATTGATGGAAAGGCTGCAGCAACCGTGCTCTGATCCACGCCCCCTCACACACCCTCTCATTTGCACTTATGGTGGCGCTATGTGCATTTTTTAGCATCACTTTCGGATGACTACAAAGCTAGAGCCTACCAGGAAGCGGAAAGACAGCGAGAGAAGCTTTATCATCCAATCGAAGAAGCTTATTCACCGGAGTGAGTCATCTTTAGTGAGCGGAAATTCCTGCGTCTCTCTAGGGCTACATCACGGATTAGCAAGATCAGTAACGGACTACATCACCAGTCGCCTTGTAAGCAGACGCTAGGCGCAGTATGGGTAAGTGGGCTGAGCTTTCTCTTCCTCATCAGCGGGTATCGTCCTTAGCATGCGTTTCTTGGAGAGTGGAACATCTCAGAGTTTAGGAACGCAGTTGGCACGATGGTTTCCTACATAGCCTAAAATGCTAGTAGGGCGCAAAAGCCTCTATTCTCAGTGACTCGTAAATCAATTTTCCCGTAGGCATCTTGTCAATCACCGCTGCATATGTGTACCCATGTATGCATGCAGCATCACGGCCGCTTCATACCAATCCCTTCGCTTCATAATTTGCTTAGCAAATGAATGAATACGAGCGTCAGGAACGGTCGTCCATTTGTGGGCGGGCGGGCGTGGCGGGCGTTTGGGACGTAAAGTTGTGGCTTGATAGGGCCCTTATAAGGGCACCTTCCTCGGGGAAACCGCTATGCAGCGCCTGCCCAGGGTCGCGGAATTCTATCCTGCCAGGAGTATTGATCCTAGTCGTCTTGGGGGATTTATCGTGCCAACTGCCTTTAAGGGTGCGTTCAAACTTAGCGGCGGCGTCCCCCAACGACCATCTGCGTTTCTAACGTCCGTCAGCGTCAGCGACAGGAAAGTATGCATATTGATCCAGCGAATGGCAGCGTCTACGCTGGCGCGACCAGGTCCGCTAGTGACCAACAGCGTACAAGGGACTAGGAAAGTGTGGATATCAAATCAGCGCCTTAGCTAATGGCAGCGTCTGCCAGCGCCTATCGGCGTTCTGCAGCGTCCGCTAGCCACCATCAGCGTCTCGAGGGACTAGCAAATATGGATATCGATTTAGTGTCTGCCAGCGTCTTCTAGCGTCCACCAGCAACCAAGAGTAGAGAGTGTGGAGAAGTAGGAGGGTAGCGGAGTGCTTGACTGCTGAGTATGGGGAAGTAGGAGAGAGCAGATAGCTGGATGAAACGTCGTGAAATTGTGGCGTGTGCAGCTGCACCGTACCACTACACAATACCGTACTCCTGGTCGCCGGTAAATGCTGGTAGACGCTGCCATTCGCTGGATCGATATCCACACTACTCCAGTCGCTGACGCTGATGGGCGCTCGAAATGGTGACGGTCGTTGTGGAAGTTGGTGAACGCGGCCGCAAAGTATAAACCCAGCCAAATGGTCCACCTACGAAGAGCAAATACTTTCGACAAATGTTGCAAGGTGATAAAAGATCACTGTATGGATGGTCCCAGTTGTCGTGATCGACGTCATTGGATCGTTCCACGTTTAGTGATTCTATGAAACAGTGGTCATTTCAGAAAAACCCTAAGAATTCTCAAAATTCATGTTTTGAGGTATCATTTGTTTCTTCTGCTCCTCACGTCTGTACTCGTCGGTTTAGTGGTACTGGCCATATTCTCATTGAAACCAGAACAGGAAGGAGAGGTCAGCACGATTCTCTACTGCTGTGTACAAATTAACTCTAGCAACTATTTTGCTGGCAATTACTCTTATCGATACGTGCTACTTTCCCTGTCTCCACATCCATTCCACAAGGATCGAAGGCTCACTTAACGTATCCATTTGTGTTCTTCCCGAGGGAGTCTGTTCAGAAAACCGAGGAGGGAATCCCAGAGATACGCTGCACGACTATCTGCGAGGTGGACCATTTCCATGTGAGAGCTACAGTCTTGTTTGCCACGGTTTGGCACGGCGTCAGCCAGTTTTCTACCATTTGTGGTCGAGTGCCCGCTCCCGCAGTAATTAGGAGGGGAAAGGGCCGAAGTCATGCTGAAGCCAGCCCCCTTTCCCTCGCACGATGCCCCATCATTCGTAGCGAAGGGGACAGTGTGTAGGACTCTAGCTGCCGTGCGAGGTTCTACACGAGAAAGTGTGCAGAACTGAAGACGGTGGGTTGTGACAACCACGTTTATGCCTCTACCCGCTACTAAATACGGACATGCAACACGCGTCACGCTCAGCAACGGCTTTGCGCGTCACTTTCCCAATCTTTCCCACGCATTATTGAGCGCTATTGTTCTCTACAAGTAGTCCTCGGCAGCCCGCCAACACGTTCGCTCCGGAAGCTGGTCCTCTGGTAGATTATCGAATGTTGGGCTGGTGGCACATGAAG